CTACTGGAGTACTATCGCTAGGAAACCATTAGGTTTGTCAGCATATTCTCTAGCATCGTAGTTGCTTACTGTCCCTTACTGTTCCTTTATTTGAAAAAATAATGTTATGTCAACAGGGCCATGGCAGTAAGCAACATACAAAATACTGAATCTATGCTGGAAACTCTGCACTATGTGAGCTCACCATGTGAGGTTCAGGATACCTCTATGGAGATGAGGAGAGGGGGAGGTGATCTGTAGTTTCTAGCATACTTTCTATTCCAGGGTGACAGCATGGCTTCTTCATAAATACATTCAGTAACATAAGTGAGCATTGTCATCCTAGTATATGAAGTGTGCAACTTATGTGAAAATAAAGGGAAAAAAGTCTGAAAAAGTAAATGAATGCAGCTACCACATCTAAGAACTGGTAACTGAAATATACAATATATGTGTTTGCTCTTTGGTTAGATGCACCCTTCATTTCCAATCTGGAAATTCTAATTGTATATCTATAAAGCAGACCTTTCACCTTAAAAAGAACTTTTCTCTACTGTTAGCCCCACATCCCCAATACAAAATTACTATCTCAAAAACATTATTAAATAATATATTTTTGGGTTTTTTTTGTACATTCCAGTTTTCAACCCTTTCATCTAGGCACCAGTGACATGAGCACAGTCTTCTTGCAGCCCCCAGAGAAACCTGTGTCAGCTTTCATTCACAGAGATCTACAGCCAACAGTTTCATTTCTTTCCCAGCTTTAAGTGACCAATAAAACGAAATTGCAATGGAAATTGAGTTGGAATTTCCAAGCCAATTTTGATCATATAATCATTTAAGCTGGGGTAGCAAATTGATGAATTTGAAAGCTGACAACAAAATTGCCAAGAGAATTGCTTAGTGCATGTCCAGAATTAGGTTTAGTATTAACTTAAATCCCTAACCCTACTGCTCACCCCAGTAAAAGAAAAGTCAGCCAACTGGAATTTATCTGTCATTAATACATTTACTGTATGGTAAGCGAAATCTGCTTACTGTGGTTTACACTTTGTAAAACTTTACTAAATAGCCCCATTTAGGCATCCAGCTTCATAAGTAACTTAGAATAATTACATAGGACTTTAGAATTATGTTGGCTAGATCCTTTAGTAATCCGAAGAAACTGCTGTGTGTACTGAATTTACATTTACCTGTACTTCAAAATCAGGGGCAGACTGATAACTTATGGGGCCCCCGGGCAATAAGGGATCATGGGGCCCCTGTGTCCTTGCCCACGCTCAAAGCACACCAAAAAAGCCTATAAAAAAGGTACCAGGGGCATTTCATGGAGCCCCCTACTGACCTCAGGCAGTGCCCGAGTGCTCGAATGGTCAGTCCGCCCCTGTTCAAAATGCATTTTTTTTTCACTTGTTCCTTGATTAACAATGACATTATTAATTTTACATACAATACACATTTTGATCTTCAAGAAGAAGGATGTGATATTCGGAAGGTGTCTATATGATCAAGAGCAGCACTTAAATAAATGTGATTTTAATTTATGTAAATTGAACAGTGGAGGTGATTCACTAAAGGCAAATAGGCTGTTTACTTTACAAGTACATTTTCACTTAGGTTAGTCAATGTGGTGAAAACCCAAACATGTGCAAATAAAATGAATAAAACTGTTTTTTTTTCATTGTTTTTTTTTTTTTTTGTTTTGTTTTGTTTTTAATTGGTTGATGGAAGTCAGTAGAGTTTTACCTCAATCACTAAGTTAAGGGTAAATTTCCTTGCAAAGTGTTATTTTACTTGCAACAGGAACAGCAGCCTATTTGTCATTAGGGAATCAAACCCAATGTGTGAGCTTAATTTGCCATAAACTTGTTTTATATATATATATATATATATATATATATATATATATATATATATAAAAATAATATGTACAGTTGCCTATCCAGAAATATCCTTAATTGTTTAGATACCTGTTAGAAATTGACCATAAACCTGAAATACACCTAATTATGTAGATATTAATGTTGGCTCAGATGAGAACTTTTTGAATTGAGCAGGACTGCTTAGATTTGTTTATTTGTTGTGAACATGATTGGAAAGTTAGGCTTGTATACATGAGGCAAAAGCTAATCCCTGGTTCACACGTGTACAAGCTGAGCAAACCTGTGTTTTAATGTGCATGGGCAGCAGTTCCTGTGGTTTCCGCAATAAAAAAGTGCATGCCTTTTTTAAAAATGCGGCCAACGGGAAATTGCAAGGTCTTTTTGACCATGAGATTTCCCTGCAGTTTCTGCATCCGCAAACATGGGATGAGATGCATGGGGGTGCCAATCAAAATGAATGGCAGCCCCACGTTGCTTCTAAGAGCAGTACGATTTGGCTGCTGGTGGTAGCAGGTGCGGGAACAGATACGATTCTCCCACCCGCAATCAACCTGCAGAGTGTGAACCAGGGATTATGTCTGAATTTACTTTAAACTCCATCGTGTTTGTAAGCATGGCAAGAGTACATTTTAGGCTGTAATAAATAACAGTTTGAAAGAAAAAACCCAAAAGCAAAAATTGAACAGATTGCATTTTACTTATCCTTAATATAGTTGTTGCATTAGTTTTCTTAGACTTTTTCCTGAGCTGCACATGGGCAGCTGAGCATGCATTCCCATCACAGTCCAGCTTTACCGAAGTGATTGACCCCTGTGCACATGTGTGTGCATACATCATTTCCCCACCAGCCATTCAAAAGGCCAAATACCCAGCACCCAACAGTAGTCAGAAAGAAAATGACTGCGCCTATGAGGGATGTAACTGCCACATTGCTGCCATTCACAAACCTTGTCTTACTGCATTCCCCCAAATGCATAACATTCTGAGAATGGCCAGGGGAGAACTGACATTCAATTCTCCTCTGTCCATTCACATTTAACTAAAGCATTGTGGGAGTGAAGGAAGACAAGTTCTGTGAATGGCGGAGAGAGCAGAAAGGGATGGGCAGCTAGCACAATGTTATTATGCTGCAGTGACTGCAGTTAAAGGGGTTGTAAATGCTTACATATAACTAGTGAAGTGACTGGCCTCAGGATACATAGGGATGAAAAAAATCCTTCTACATAAGTTGTACCTGTTTGTCTGCAGCAGTCTCTCTTCTTCATCAGTTTATATTCCAATATGTTTATTAAAAGGCATAAGTTAACAAGTACGACATTTGAACATAGGTCATTTTACAAGTAATTGTCAGCAAGAAAAAAACATGAGATTATTAGAAGAATGACAAATACAGTATAAACCATTGCCTGATGAACCAAACAGAATATAATAATATTCAGACAGAAGGGTGTAGACAAATCAAAGAGGGCAGTCCCTGTTAGAAACAAATTACATAAACCCTGTCAACCAAGGACCAGAAACAGAACAAACCTAATTGGTAGAGGTACCACCAATAGCATAATAAACTTGTAGTATCATGGACACAATGGGTGCAGGGTGATGGGTAGGAGGTGTGGGGAGAGAACAAGTAAAACAACATCATTGTTCTAGTGCCTGGAAATGTGATCAGGGTCAAAGCTACAAAAACCCTGAAGTCATTCTAAAACAACTAACAGTATTCAGTAGAAAATGAAAGAAGGAAAAGAAAATTAATAAAGACAGGAGAGAAGAGAGACGAAAATAGGGTCAGCCCAGGACTCATCCGATATGTTTTGGATCCATGGATCCCATGTTTTATCAAATTTCTGGGTAGTTTTTATATGGATACAGGTGAATCTGTCATTGACCATAATCCAGTTAAGATTACTCTTGAAAAGTCAAGGGGGACCATTGACTGCTTCCAATACTTGGCAATGATAATTCTTGCTGTCAAAAACATATATGTGATTATTTAATTGACCTCTTGGGAACTACATCAGTGAATGTTTGGAAAAAGATGGTTTCAGGGGATCTGCAGATATTTACTCCTGTCACGGAGTAGATCAGATTAAACATCCGACTCCAAAACCTGGTCACTACAGGGTACTGCCACCAGATGTGGAACGTTTCCCATCTGGCCACAAAGCCAGAAACAGGTGGGCGATACCGACAAGTGCATTCTCGCAACCCGCCAAATCCAGGTGGAAACTCTGAGTTGCAAAGAGAGGGGCTAATAGTGTATGTGGAGATAATAGGGACTTACTCTATCCCAGACAGCTAATGAATACGATAAAGAAGGACATAGTATAGGAGGTTGTAGGAGGCTAGGAAGCCACAATAAGGAACCAATGGCGAAGGGACAGCACTAAAGGGCTTCAATGGAAACCCAAAGGGGTGTAGGCCCTGTAGCAGTTGTATAAGCTAATTGGGCAATTTGTGCAGCTTTAAAGTAGGCTTGTAGGTTTGGAAGGCCAATCCCACCTCGTGGTTTTGAAGCATATAATGTTAGCTTGTTCATCCGGGGCCCTCAAACCCCTAGCAAAGCAAAGGACTTCAGCCTGTAGACATTGTAGATCACCCCTCGGGTCTGCTATTGGTAAGGTCCTAAAGTAGTAAAGAAGCCTGGGTAAAAAAGTCATTTTAATAGAATGAATTCTGCCAAACCCAGGATATGAAATAATCTGAAATAAAATGACACTTAGTGCGCTGGGTTGAGACAAGTAAACACTATAGAGGCAGTGGTGTATTTTGGTTTTGTGCTGCCCTAGGCAAGACTAAAATCGGGCACCCCCCGCATCTAAATTTGCCCCCCCTTCCTGTTTAAGACCCACCCCTTCATCTGTAAACCCCACCCCTTCTTATTTAAACTCCTCCTCTTCCTATTAGAGCTCCACCCACTAACAAGGATGGGGCACTATTCCTCCAACTCACAATGATGGGGTACTATTACTTCCACACTGACACCAGTGATGGGGCAGTATTCCTCCCACTGACACAAACGATGGTGCCCCATCATTGGTATCAGTGAGAGGAATAGTGTCCCATCGTTGGTATCAGTGGGAGGAGATAGTGCCCCATCATTAGTGTCAGTGGCAGGAATAGTGCCCCATCATTAGTGTCAGTGGGAAGAATAGTGCCCCATCATTGGTGTCAGTGGTAAGAATAGTGCCCCGTCATTGGTGTCAGTGGAAAGAATAGTGCCCCGTCATTGGTGTCAGTGTGTGTGTGTGTGGGGGGGGGAATAGTGCCCCATCGTTGGTGTCAGTGGGGGGGAATAGTGTCCCATCGTTGGTGTCAGTGGAGGGGAGGAATAGTGCCCCATCGTTGGTGTCAGTGGAGGGGAGGAATAGTGCCCCATCGTTGGTGTCAGTGGAGGGGAGGAATAGTGCCCCATCGTTGGTGTCAGTGGAGGGGAGGAATAGTGCCCCATCGTTGGTGTCAGTGGAGGGGAGGAATAGTGCCCCATCGTTGGTGTCAGTGGAGGGGAGGAATAGTGCCCCATCGTTGGTGTCAGTGGAGGGGAGGAATAGTGCCCCATCGTTGGTGTCAGTGGAGGGGAGGAATAGTGCCCCCATCGTTGGTGTCAGTGGGGTGGGGGGGGAATAGTGCTCCATCGTTGGTGTCAGTGGGGGGAGGAATAGTGCCCCATCATTGGTGTCAGTGGGGGGAGGAATAGTGCCCCATCTATGGTGTCAGTGGGGGGAGAAATAGGGCCCCATCATTGGGGGAGAAATAGTCAGTGGGGGGGGAGGAATAGTGACCCAAGGTTGGTGTCAGTGGGGGGGAGGAATAGTGACCCATCGTTGGTGTCAGTGGGGGGAGGAATAGTGACCCATCATTGGTGTCAGTGCGGGGGAAATAGTACCCCATCATTGGTGTCAGTGGGGGGAGGAATAGTGCCCCATCATTGGTATCAGTGACACCAATGATGGGGCACTATTCCTCCTGCTGACACCAATGATACTTACCTTGCTGACCCCTGCTCCAGCCTGGGCTCGCTCCCTCCCTCTCCCATCCACAGCCAGCATACCTGGCTGCAGCAGCACAATCTGCACGGCACAGACACTTACCGGTCAGCTGTCTTCCTTCTCCGGCCGCTCTCCTCTTCACTCGCTCCGGCTGCTCTCTCACTATATCTTCTTTGATCTTCGCGCTGCCGCTCGGCTCCTCCTCTTCAAGCTCCGTCTCCTCGCCAGTGATTGTCCGCCTGTGTGCCTTTCCTGATCTACAGTTCCAACGGCCAATCACTGGTGAGGAAGCGGAGCTTGCAGAGGGAGGGACAAGCTGATATAGGCTGTTGAGTGGACCCGGGGGTGTGGCCAGATGACAGGGGCGGCATGTCATCCCGCCCACACATTGTGATCCAGGGAAATGAAGACACCGGACCCGCTGACCGGACAACCTCTTTACCCCTCCTCCAGCAGCGCTTCGTGGACCGGATCAATTGGGGGACTGGGACACGGAGTCGCGGACCCAGGTAAGACACAGCAGCCCGCCCCTGTACTAAGTGTCCCTTCCGTGGGAAAGCGGTGGGCAGCACCGCCACCGTGCCGCCCCCCTAAAAAGTGCCGCCCTAGGCAAAAGCCTTGCTTGCCTCGCGGCAAATACAACCCTGTATAGAGGGATATGCTTTGTTCATATTTCATGTCTGAGGTTTACAACCACTGTAAAGCAAAACTAACCCCCCTATTCTTTACATCCAAGGAAGATATCATTCACAACATGCTTTGAATGTAACTCTTTTGGGAAACTGTTAAATCAAAGGGTTTAGTTTCACTTTAACCTTTGCAGAGTCGAAAGACAACTGCTGATTAGAGAGTTTCTGGCTGCTCTGAGGAGGAACTGAAGGGAAGATTTGTGGCAGATGCCTGCAGGTAATGAGATACACACCATTACAGATAACTAATGTGTATGGTGTTCAATCCCAAAAAAATCATTTTAAACCTTAGGACAAACTGTGTAAATTTACTGACTACCTGATATTTGATGTGTTTACTGAACAGCAATGGTAGCTTATTGACTGGGTCCACTTTTAACTGGGACTGCTTTTAAAGCATATATACACCCTAAAAATGAACTTCTCTTATTTGGTTCCTTTTGTTCTGTTAAAGAAGAACTCCAGGAAATAAGCCACTATTTTATATGTGCTGCCGCACAATATGTTAAAGCTGACCTTAGATGGATCATAATTTTGTCCATTCAGCAGGGACCAGCCAAATTCAACCCTATGGCCATTTTCACTTGTGAGAAGTTGATCTAATGATTGACTTCCCATGAATGGGCTTGTTGGAAAATTTTGGTTTGTGTATTCTGAGTTTGGAGGAGTGCCTAGTGTCAGAATACAATAACACAGTGGGGCTGATTGAAAATAATTGACCCGTATATGCCCAACTTAAGTCCAATGAGGTGTTTGCCAATTCTTTTTTTTGCAATATACATTTTTGCTGAACTCCAGGAGTACAGCTATTGTTATAATTCTGGGGCTCTGACACTAGACCTCTGGGTCTCAGACCCTACAGATGCTTTGCCTGCCCTCCTCCTGCCCAGTCATGGAAGGCTTTGCATTGTTTGAACCCATTTACAAAATACAAAGCCTTCAGTGAATAAACAGGGGTGAGGAATGGTGGGCAGTCACAGAGTAGCCACATCTTTCCTGTGATAGCTGTACTCCCGCTGCTCAGAAAACATATAAATTGTAAATGAAAGAGATAAGCCCATGAGGTGGCATACGCCCCACTGGACTTACCCATGGTAAGCCAACACATTTTAATAAGCCACTTAATTCCTGGAATTTGTCTTTGAATATACCATTGGAAGTGTTTTGCTATAATTACATAGTTAGTCTGGCTGAAAAAAGACAAAAGTCTATCCAGTTCAACCATTAAAAAAAAAAAAAATCTATAACCCTACACCCACAGTTGATCCAGAGGAAGGCAAAAAACCCAGCAAAGCATGATCCAATTTGCTCCTGCAGGGGGAAAAACATCCTTCCTGATCCCCCGAGAGGCAATCGGATATTCCCTGGATTAACTTTACCTATAAATGTTAGTATCCAGTTATATTCTGTGTATCTAGGAAAGAATCCAGGCCTTTTTTAAAGCAATCCACTTAGCTGGCCAGAACCAACTCTTGAGGGAGTCTACTCCACATTCTCACGGCTCTCACTGTGAAGAAACCTTTCTGTGTTTGGAGATTAAATTTCTTTTCCTCCAGACATAAAGAGTGCCCCCTTGTCCTCTGTGATTATCTCGGTGAATAACTCTACACAGAGGTCACTGTATGAAACACTGATGTATTTATACATGTTGATCATATCCACTCCTAATCTCTTCTCAAGAGAGAAATTCAGTCTGTATGATAAATCATGTCTGTATGATAAGTTCAAAAACAATACCTGTTGATCTTGTCAGATATCCAATGAGCTAATAATTTCCTGCACTCATTCCTAGGATGGTTATCATCAGTTATATTGTTCTTAGTTAAGTCACTCTAACAGCTACAGAACAACGTTGTTCTGTTATGGACAATAGGGTGGGGTTCTGTAGTCCGATCTTGCTTCTGTTTTCCTGATATAGTGAGTAGTAGGGACCCAGGGCTGAAAGTGTGTTACTGGTAGAATACCCGGTGACAATAAAGGAACTAAACGAATGCACCACCACATCTAAGGTACGCTACAATACATTACATTTGTTTTTTGGCTTAAATGCACTTCAAGTTGTATGCACTTTTTTTTTTGTTTAGCTTTAGAGTATGTTTAAACCCCTATCAGGTTGTTTTTGCTGTCATGATGGAGAGCTCTCCCTTCATTTCCTGTCCTGGAGGCACAACAGAAAATGGGAGAACATCTCTCCAAAGTGAATAGAATTCCCATCTTATAGAGTTGTTACAGGAACAGGTGTCTCATTGGAGATTTCCCTTTATCTCTTACCCTACTAACAACTAGAAAATTTTGAATTTCCCCTCACTTTCTGTCCTGGTTGCCATGGTCGCCAAGACAGATAGAACGTGGATCTACCCATCAGAGACACAAAAAGCAATAAAAAATGTGATGAAGGCTGCAACCTTTCCCAACGCTATCCAAAAAAATTTCCTTTACATACACTTTGAGTTAAAGTATTACTAAACCACAACAGTAAAATCAGTCTGTATATTCAGTAAACCATGCTTGTTATACTCACTGTGGAACCTAAGGGCTTAATCCTCTGCATCGTGTAAAAAAAGCCGTTTGATCCTGTCTTCTCTGTTCCTTCCTTTCAAGCAACCACCTCTTATCTCCTGATAAGACAGATTGAACCATAGGCATTTTGCACATACGCAGTTTGGTGTGTATTGCTAGAGAGGTTTTTTTTCTTTCTTGGGAGAGTGCATGTGATCAGCACAGGGACAATCAGCACTGCCCAAACAGAGTTCAGAGGTCCTGCATCCTCCTAGAGCAGAAATAAAACTCCTCCTACAAGCTTTAGCTAGTGCTGGGCTGGACACTGATAGAAGTCACAAGACTGCTAATACAGTGATGGGAAAAGGTATTTAGCGGTTTATATTAACTAAAATAATTGCATTTCCATGTTCTGTGTACTGTGGGAGACCAGATATAGTGAATGCCGGGTCCTGGGTTTAGTAACACTTTAAAGTACTGCATATTTGAAAAAGGAAGATATTTAGGAAAATGTTGCATTTAAAGGAGAACTAAAGGCTGAACCTTTTTTTTCAATTTGGATAGAGTAAGGGAGAGCCATAATCCCTGTCATTTTTTTGCTCTCTTGTCCCATTGGAAAAATTTCCCTTCACTTCCTGACCCATAACCATGACAGGAAGTGAGAGAAAATTCCTCCAAAGCGAGGGAAAATGGAATTTGAAGCACCACACCACTGCTAAGAGTTCCAGATACAAATGTATTTCAATAAAAGTCAGAGGTTAAATTCAAAAGGTATCCAATGTGTTTCAGGGGTCCAAGAAAGACACCTTTACTAAGGTGTGGTTGACAACAATGTGAACAGACTAGATGTGAACTGGACTTTAATGTTATTTCTTCTAGCGTGATTGAAGTACAGCAGCTAGTTTTGACAGCCAGTTTACTTCTAGTTCATTCACATTGTTGTGACTCAAGCCCCGATGAAGGCAGCATTCTTGCACCACCAAAATGCATTGGATATTCTTTGGATTGTTCCCCTGATTTTTATTGGAATAAAGTTTTATCTGGACCTCTTAGCAGTGGTGTGGCACTTCAATTTCCATTAGTGTTACATTATACTACAAGCCAAGGAGACCATGGAGATCCTCTGGGATATAAAAGCTGCCTGCCCAGGAACCAGATCATTTGCATCATTATCAATACTTTGTGATAGAAATAACCCTATGGGTCTAGAGCTATTTTTCCACTTTCCTCAACTCTGCCAAAGTGAGGGAGTGCCTTGTTGTCACCAGGATCACCAAAACTAGAGTCCTGATTGGAAGATCTCCCCTCTATTTCTGTTGTAACGAAAACACAAAATTTGGTATTTTCTTTCACTCTTGGTGACAACGAGAAACAGGACAAGTAGAGAGTGTAAAACTCCAAAGACATGCTGGTAGGTTAA